TCGAGGGAGAAATGGGATGTCATATGTGGCTCGAGCGCACCCAGTTTGCCTCCCCCGATCTCCACCCTCCTCCTCTCTCCCATGACCCTGTCCAAACGATAACCCGCCCTGTCCGCGTATTGTTCTACACATTGGCCAACGAGTAACTTGTGTCTTGTGCGTTTGCAATCCGAACGCTTTCGGTCCGTCAAAACGGCAGAACGGTGTTCTCGCTGCAGCGCTGGCCTCAATTCCGATGCCAGGCAATGCTATGCTATCTACGGCTATGCGATGCCCTGCGCTGCGCTGCAATGCTATGATATACAATGTGTGGTCCCAGGAAGTCGGTCGGAGATCAGCAGGGACGAAGGTCCGCGAAGGTCACGGTCTCTCAGGATGCCCCACCACTGCACTGGCCCGAGCGGCTCTGACTCGGGCCACGGGACGGGGCAGCAACGAAAAGCGTGCCGAACGGGGAAGGCGCGAGAAGACATCGCAATTCCACACCATGTACCATGTTATGCCATGCTACGCTCTGCCCTGCATTCCTGCGTCATGTAATGCCACTATATGCTAGTATACCATTGTATGCCACATCGCGTGCCCTTTTGGGGTTATTGCCATCTTCGACATCTGTTTGCGCGAATGGAGATGGGTTCTCCGCAATGGTAGGGGATGAGAGAGAGGGGTAGGACGTCAGATCTGACACGAGCGCACCCGGCCACTCCCCCCCATCTATCCCCCACTCCCTTCCCAGGAGAGCCGAACACCAAATCAATACGTCGGGTCCGCGATCCGAATAATTCGGATCGACAGAAGTCGGCAGCCGGGTCGGGAGAAGACACATCGGCGAACATTGGCAGGCTAGTAAGGCCTCCACAGAGAAACCAGAACCCCAATCGGAACCCGAACCCGAACCGCATCGGAACCGGAACCGACCGAAAGCGAGTCGACTCGAGTCGGAGGGGTCCAAATGCGCCCAAGCCCTGCCTCCCCCCCTCTTGCGGACCCGCTGCGGCGGGGCTTCACTTCTTCTCCTCCAGCAGCTCCAGCTGCCGCGACAAGGCGGCCAGGGCCGCGGCGCTGCCGCCTCCCGCCGCTGGGACGGACGAGGCAGCGCCGCGGGCCTTCCCAGCGGGGGTCATCGTCGTCGTCGTCGTCGTCGTCGTCGTCGTCGTCGTCGTCGCCGTCGTCGTCGTCGTCGTCGCCGTCGTCGTCGTCGTCGTCGTCGTCGTCGTCGCTCGCGAGGAGGGGGAGGAGGAGGAGGAGGAGGATCTTCCGCTCGGGGATGGCTGGGGGACAGCTCACCATCTGTCGCGGGGGCCTGGTACCGCAGCTCTTCTGAGCCCCTCGGCCCGAGAGACCACCAAGCACCAAAGGGGGGGGGGTCCGCCCCTTGGGGGGTCTGCCTCCTCCCACCTTGCCCCGGGAAGGCCGGTGGTGACTACCTCCTGCACCTGGGAGCGGGGACCCCCCAGAACAGGCGAGAGCTGCAGCTGGGGTCTCGTTCTGGGGCGAGGTGGAAGAAGCGATCCCTCCACAGGGGGGGCCTCCAGCGGCCTTCCGTGCCGAGCGGACATCAAAAACCGCGTAGGGGAGATGAGCGGCGGGAAAGCGCGCGCTTACCACCGCTGGGGCCCCGCCCGTCCGTGCCAACCCCGGGGCCACCGCAGGGCATAGCTGCGAGGCGTTCGCAGAAGACCGGAGGAGGCCCTCCCGTGGGGTGCGGCCCCCCGGCCCCCCACCCAGCTCGGCTGCTGGGCGCGGCCCTGCCTGCGGGGAGAGGCGGGCGGGGGGGAGAGGGAGAGGATCCCGCCTTCCAATCCGTCCCCCCCGGCTGCTTCCCAGGCAACGGGCAGGGCCACTGCGGGAGAGGCGTCGGGTGTGACCCCTGGCACGGCACTGCACAAGTGTGGATGGGTTTCGGACAGAGCAGCAGCAGGGGCTGAGCATGGCGGGGAGGGGAAGGAGGGCGGCTCCGACGATGGGCCTGGAGAGCAGGAGAGGGCTACTTCACAAGACAACGTATCAGCCGAGCACACCCTGAGAGGAGATCCACCACCACCGGCCGAACCAGCACCCCGCTGAGCCTTGCGTCTTCCTCCCACCCACCCCACCGTCAGGGGAGGTCGGACGAGGAGCTGGACCAGCAGCGGCTGGGACCGAGGTCGGAGGAGTAGGAGGAGAAGATGGAGGAGGAGGGGGAGGAGGAGATGGACGAGGGGGAGGAAGAGGAGGACCAGTGTAAACCCAAGAGTCATCAACGAGGTTGGAGTAAACCCTCCCTCCAAGCTCCCTGTTTATAGGCCCCTGTCACTGTGCATTTGCATTGATGGAACTGCCTCGTTGGAAGTCACCCGTTTGAAGACCCTGAAGCATGCCAAAACATTGTTCTCGGGAGTCCAATGCCACGGATCAATCTGACTGGTGCGTCTTGACGATCCTGAATCGTGCCAGAACGCAGTTCCTAGGATTTCAACACAGAGAATCAACGTAACTGCTGCACCCGCAAAATTCTGAATATATCATAAACGCAATATCTGGTTCGTTGATGATGGGGATCCCTAAAACCCTTGCAATGTTTGGCAACGAATATTCGCCCCGCGCTAAAGCGAGAACAACATTTTGAAAAGGAACCGCCTTCAGTCCGTGAAACCCTTGCAAATGTTGAAATCGAATGTGAGCCGCTCTGCGGCGAGAGCCACATGTTGAAAACCACTCGCCCTCAACGCGTGGAAATTCGGCACTTTGTTAAAAACGCATGTGCGCCGCGGTAAGGCGACAGCCACATTTCCAAGACGCCCTGCCCTCAATCCGTGAACCTTTTGTACATGTTGAAAACGAATGCGCGCCGCGCTAAGACTAGAGCCACATTTTGAAAACGGCCCGCCCTCAATATGCGCAACTCTTGCAAATGTTTAAAACGAATGCGCACGGCGCCAAGGCTAGAGCCACAGTTTGAAAATGGCCTGCCATCACTATGTGCAACTATTGCAAAGTGTTGGAAAGAATGTACGCCGAGCTAGAGCGAAAGCCAAATGTTGAAAACCACCCACCCTCCATATGTGACGCTGCTACCACTTGCGTAGCTTCAAAATCACAGATGGTGAGGACGTCCCAGGCAAAACGCACGCCCCGCCCGAAAAACTGGTGCGGCAGGGGAAAATTATTCAGATGGAAAAGGAATGGATGAAGCAATGGGCGACGAGGAGGAGGAGGAGGACGAGGAACAGGAGGACGGGGCAAGGTGGGAGAGGAGGAGGAGGAGGAGGAGGAGGAGGAGGAGGAAGAGGAGGAGGAGGGAGGAGGAGAGGGAGGAGGAGGAGGAGGAGGAGGAGGAGGAGGCAGGGAGGAGGACGAGGACGAGGAGGAGGATGAGGAGGAGGAGAAGAGGAGGATGAGGAGGAGGAAAACGAGGTGAGGAGGAGGAGGACGACGACGAGGAGGAGGAAAGAAAAGGAGGAGGAAGAAAAGGGGGAGGAGTACGAGAGGCGGGAAGGGGGAGATGGCGAGGGAGGAGGGGGTAAGGGAAAAAGATGCGGACGTGGTGGGGGGGCTGAGGGAGGCGGGGTGTGGGGGGGAGGGGAAGGAGGTGGATGAGGGGAAGGACGAGGACGAGGAAAAGGAGGAGGAGAAGGAGCAGGAGGAGAGTAATGGGGAAAAGGACGAAGAGGAGGAGGAGGAGGAGGAGGAGGAGGAAGAGGAGGAGGAGGGGGAGGAGGACGGAGGGATGGGGGGGGGGAGGAAGGTTGCGTCCGCGCAATATCTGACATCCCGCCCCTCCCACAATTCCTTGTTCCCCTTGCGCTGTCTTTGTTTGTCCATCTGCCGACGGGTGGCATGGCAGACCTGGAGCTCCATTGAGGGCCTCACTGCGTCATGCGCAGTCGGAAAACTGAGCTGCGCCCATTGGAGGAGGAGGAGGTGACGGATGAACGGAGGCATGAAAAGGAGGGAAAAAGAAGAATGACGGACGCGGACAAGGACGAGCAGCAGCAGCAGCAGCAGCAGCAACAGCGGCAGCGGGAGTTGGAGTGGAAGGAGCGGGGGAAGCGGGAGCGGCCAGGGGAAGGGCGAGGAGGGGATAGGCGACAACAATAAGAAAGAGCACTGGGGTGAGAGCGCCATTCTGAACGACGGGGGCGAAACGCCAATCCGAAAATGAGGCCCGCGCTGCAGCAGGAACACCATTTGGAAAAACCGAAAGCAACCGGATTGCATCAAAACCGAACGTCCAACAACAGCAACAACACTCAGTTGACATTCGCGCGCCGTGCTTCCATGTGGCGCATGCATCCTTCTGGATTCCACACCGCATCGCGGTGGATGTTTCTGGCATGCGGGCCCCGGTATTCCCTCGCCCAAATCCCCCGCCCAAGAAAGTATTGCCGCCACCTCCCCAGAGGAATTTCGACATCCACAGCGCGGCATATCGCCATCGCAATCGCCTCGCGCACGCCCCGCATCTCATGGGGGGAGGAAGAGGACGAGGAGGGGAGGGAAGATGGGGGAGAGGAAGAGAGAGAGGAGGATGGGGGGGGATGGAGGAGGAGGAGGAGGAGGAGGAGGAGGAGGAGGAGGAGGAGGAGGAGGAGGAGGAGGAGAAGGGGGAGGGAGGAGTAGATGTGGTGGCAATCCCTCCGAGGACGAGGTGGTTGTTACTCCTCGCCCGCACTGTTGCGCCACCATCCTGCGGCCTCGGCGCGTGACCCTGAACGTCCACGCCCTCAAGCGCTGCCGCTCCCATGCCCGCATCCTCCACCTGCCCCATCCACACCCTCTCAAGGATTCTCTGAACTCAATCCTTCGACCCTCGATCCGTGGAGCCCCTGGAAGTCAACCGTTCTCTGTCTTATCCTCCTCCTCCACATTATCTATGCTCCCCAAAAATCAGAATCATAATAAAAGTAATGTTAAACAAAGACTCTTGGAAACCCCCCAGAGGTGATGCCGAAACGAGGGCCCCAGTCTTGACTAAAAGGGGAAGGATTATCAAACGGGAGCGACGAGGGAGGACGGGCGAAGGTGGGAGAGAGGAGGGAGGAGGGAGGCAGGAGGAGGGAGGAGACAAGGGGGACGATAATGGAAATCGGGATATCGGGATCAATCCACAGTCGCACAGTGGAACGCAAAAGGGCTCACGTGCACATTGACACGGCCTGCACCAGGGGCCAAAGGGGCGCAAGCAAGCGGCAGGTGGCGCAACAACAGACTGCGCGCCAGCTCTCCACGAAACGACACCACGTCGGGCGCCGCCCCATGCCTCCCACCAGGCACGGTCCCCAGGCGGCCTCCGCGAAACGAGCCAAGGAAGAGGAGGGGAGAAGAAGGGAAGCAACTGCAGCCACATGCCACTGTGCCGTCACGGGGGGGTATTCAGCCCACCGCAGCAGCAAAACTCCGAACTCCACCTCCAGCTTGCAGGGCCAGCTCGCTCGCCAACTACCACGCGGTTTTCCGAACTGCGTCCGCCCCGTAGGGCTCAGATTATGACGCAATCGTGCCGCCCCAAGCCACCCGAGGGGGCGCCACCCCCCGCGGGCGACTCCGCACCCCCACGCACACCAGGGCGGGGCACCCTGGCCGTGGGATGGATGGGTGCGGGGTCCACCGATGAACCCACCGCAGGGGACCCGCTCCCCTGCTCATGCGCACGCGGTGTACGTGCCAGGCCACCGCAAGGAGGGAGCTGGCGACGAGATGCATGTTTCTCTCCCCCTGGCCCCCACGGGCAAGCTGGGGTGACGATCGGGTTGCTACCCGCCTGTTTTCCTCCTGGCCCCTACGGGCAAACAGGAGTGCACAGGTGCCAGGGGACGAGAAGGGAAAGGAGGAGGGAGGAGGAGGGAGGAGGGAGGAAACAGGGACGGGAGAGGGAGGGGAGAGGAGGGAGAAAAGGAGGGTGTGGAGGGAGGAAGAGGGAGGAAGAGACAGGGGGAATGAGGAGGGGGGGGGGAGGAGGAGGAGGAGGAGGAGGAGGAGGAGGAGGAGGAGGAGGAGGAGGAGGAGGAGGAGGGAGGAGGAGGAGGAGGAGGAGGGGAGGGAGGAGGAGGAGGAGGCGGAGGAGGAGGAGGAGGAGGAGGAGGAGGAGGAGGAGGTAGAAGAGGAGGAGGAGGAGGAGGAGGAGGAGGAAAAGGAGAAGGAGGAGGTGGAGGAGGAGGAGGCAGGAGGAGGAGGAGGAGGAGGAAGAGGAGGAGGAGGAGGAGGATAAAAGGGCGCCAGTCCAGCGTAAAACGGGAGGAAGTATCGGGCGGGAGCGCTGGGTTTGTCGGGGCGGGGGCTGTCGGCGGCAAGCAAGAACACCGCCTTGAGTAAATTACCCCGTGACGTACCCAACCCAGTTGTACCATGGGAAACGAGGAGTTGGCAGAAACTTGCACGGACAATCAAATTGCAGGATCCGTTGTTTGATATGTAAGCTACTTGGGACACGCGCCTATGGCATGATGCGCAGGAGAACCATACAAGAAAGAGGGGCGACAGCTACAGGCTCGAAGAGGACATGGAGAGTCGGGAACGAAGAGCAGGAGAAAGACGTGCGGGAAGCCCACTGTGCTGGGCCCCTCAGCAGCCTCGAAAGTGGCGACAGTTTCACAGATCGCAACCCCCGAGGGATTGCGAGGTCTAATCTGAGTCTGCGGTGAGTACCCACTGTGCTGGCCCTCAGCAGCCCTCGAAACTGGCGACAATTTCACAAATCGCAGCCCCCCAGGGATGGCGAGGTCTAATTTGAGTCTGCGGTGAGTACCCACTGTGCTGTGCCCCTCAGCAGCCCTCGAAAGTGGCGACAGTTTCACAGATCGCAGCCCCCCAGGGATGGCGAGGTCTAATCTGAGTCTGCGGTGAATACCCGGTGTGCTGGACCCCTCAGCCGCCCTCGAAAGTGGCGACAGTTTCGCAGATCGCAGCCCCCCAGGGATGGCGAGGTCAAATTTGAATCTGCGGTGAGTACCCACTGCGCTGGGCCCCTCAGCAGCCCTCGAAAGTGGCGACAGTTTCACAGATCGCAGCCCCCCAGGGATGGCGAGGTCTAATTTGAGTCTGCGGTGGGTACCCACTGTGCTGTGCCCCTCAGCAGCCCTCGAAAGTGGCGACAGTTTCACAGATCGCAGCCCCCCAGGGATGGCGAGGTCAATTGAGTCTGCCGTGAGTACCCACTGGCTGGGCCCCTCAGCAGCCCTCGAAAGTGGCGACAGTTTCACAGATCGCAGCCCCCCAAGGATGGCGAGGTCTAATCTGGGTCTGTGGTGAGTGCCCACTGTGCTGGGCCCCTCAGCAGCCCTCGAAAGTGGCGACAGTTTCACAGATCGCAGCCCCCCAGGGATGGCGAGGTCTAATCTGAGTCTGCGGTGAGTACCCACTGTGCTGGCCCCTCAGCAGCCCTCGAAAGTGGCGACAGTTTTCACAGATCGCAGCCCCCCAAGGTGGCGAGACTAATCTGAGTCTGCGGTGAGTACCCACTGTGCTGTTCCCCTCAGCAGCCCTCGAAAGTGGCGACAGTTTCACAGATCGCAGCCCCCCAGGGATGGCGAGGTCTAATTTGAATCTGCGGTGAGTCCCACTGTGCTGTGCCCCTCAGCAGCCCTCGAAAGTGGCGACAGTTTCACAGATCGCAGCCCCCCAAGGATGGCGAGGTCTAATCTGAATCTGTGGTGAGTGCCCACTGTGCTGGGCCCCTCAGCAGCCCTCGAAAGTGGCGACAGTTTCACAGATCGCAGCCCCCCAGGGATGGCGAGGTCTAATCTGAGTCTGCGGTGTGTGCCCACTGTGCTGGGCCCCTCAGCAGGCCTCGAAAGTGGCCACCGTTTCACAGATGGCAGCCCCCCAGGGATGGCGAGGTCTAATTTGAGTCTGCGGTGAGTACGCACTGTGCTGTGCCCCTCAGCAGGCCTCGAAAGTGGCGACAGTGGCGACAGTTTCACAGATCGCAGCCCCCCAAGGGATGGCGAGTCTAATTTGAATCTGCGGTGAGTACCCACCGTGCTGTGCCCCTCAGCAGGCCCCAAAAGTGGCGACAGTTTCTCAGATCGCAGCCCCCCAGGGATGGCGAGGTCAAATTTGAATCTGCGGTGAGTACCCACTGTGCTGTGCCCCTCAGCAGCCCTCGAAAGTGGCGACAGTTTCACAGATCGCAGCCCCCCAGGGATGGCGAGGTCTAATTTGAATCTGCGGTGAGTACCCACTGTGCTGGGCCCCCCAGCAGCCCTCGAAAGTGGCGACAGTTTCACAGATCGCAGCCCCCCAGGGATGGCGAGGTCTAATTTGAATCTGCGTGAGTCACTGCGCTGGGCCCCCCAGCAGCCCTCGAAAGTGGCGACAGTTTCACAGATCGCAGCCCCCCAGGGATGGCGAGGTCTAATCTGAGTCTGCGGTGAGTACCCACTGTGCTGGGCCCCTCAGCAGCCCTCGAAAGTGGCGACAGTTTCACAGATCGCAGCCCCCCAGGGATGGCGAGGTCTAATTTGCAGTACCCACTGTGCTGTGCCCCTCAGCAGCCCTCGAAAGTGGCGACAGTTTCACAGATCGCGGCCCCCAGCAGCCCTCGCAAGTGGCACAAGGATAACCACCAGGTAGGAAGCAGGCTGAAATGCAACGACGAGCGAGGTAAAAGGCAGGGGGGAAGAGAGGGACGGGAAGGAAGGAAGGAAGGAAGGAAGGAAGGAAGGAAGGAGGGAAGTAAGGAAGGAAGGAGACGCGCGAGCACTGCTCTATGCAAAACGAGATCCCAACGCAGGAGGGTTGGGAAAAAGGGAGGGCGTCTCGAGCGGGAGCGTTGTTGTTGCTGGGGGGCGGCGCCGATGAGAGAAAGAGTAGCGCGCCTGTCCAAGGTAAAACGGGAGGAAGTTTCGAGCGGGACCGCTGGTTTTGTTGAGACCGCTGCTTTCGGCGGCAAGCAAGAGCACCGGCCCTGAGCAAAAACGGAGGAAGTCTCGAGAAAGAGCGTTGTTGTTGTTGGGGGGCCGGTTTGGGCGGTCCCCAAAACCGCTTGCGAGTGAGCCTCATTGTCAATGAAAATGCAGCTGGCACCTCGGCGAGAGCGCCAGGGCGCCTGTAAGGGGTCCAACAATAATAATTGCGTAGTTATTAACATTCCGCAGCAACAACAACAGCAGCAGCAGCAATCAAAACAACAAACACACGCTGCGTGTGAAACACAGTACGCGGAGAAGGCCGAATATCTGCTGGAGAGAGGTCAGGATAGAGAGGGGAGCAATGAGTTCGATTCCCCGAATCGATGCTTGCGCTTAGGGGCCCCAACTTCCCCTCCACGGAGCGGGGCCCGTGTGTGGTCCTGTCGGCCCCGTCCCCGTCCGTCGCCGCGCCGCGTCTCCCGATACCGGGCCCGTCTGTGGGCTGGGCGGCCCCATGCCCGCCCGCGCCTCGCACAGTTCGCACCACAGGGCTCACACCATGCAGACTGCACCACATAACCCACACAGCATAGCTCACACCACACAGCTCAAACCACACAGCTCACACCACACAGCTTGCACCCCACGCAGATTGCACCACACAGATTCGGCCACTCAGGGTGCACCGCACAACTTGCACCACACGTGCTGCACCACTAAAGCTTGCACAACATAGCTCACATCAAAGCTTGCACCACGTATATTGTATCACATAGCTTACTCCGCATCGCCTGCATCACATAGCTTGGACCACACAGCTTGCATCACGCAGGTTGCACCACGTAGATTGCACCACAAAGCTTGCGCCACGTAGCTTACGCGGCATGGCTGCACCGCAAAGCTTGCCAACCACAGTGTCACAAGTTACTGTCTGCGGTCCATACGAACTAACGTTTGTGATCATAGGGGAGAGGAGGACGAGGAGGAGGAGGAGGAGGAGGAGGAGGAGAAGGGGAGAGGAGGGAGGGGGGGGGAGGGAGAAGAGGAGGAGGAGGAGGAGGAGAAGGAGGAGGAGAAGGAGGAGGAGGAGAAGAGGAAGAGGACGAGGGAGGAGGAGGAGGAAGAAGAAGAAGGAGGAGGAGGAGGAGGAGAGGAGGGAGGAGAGAGAGAGAGAGAGAGAGAGAGAGAGAGAAAAAAAAAAAGGAGGGGAGGAGAGGACAGGAGGGAGGGAGGAGGAGAGGAGGAGGAGGAGGAGGAGGAGGAGGGAGGGAGGGAGAGGGGGGAGGAGGAGGAGGAGGAGGGAGGAGGAGGAGGAGGAGGAGAGGAGGAGGGACAAGGGGAGGAGGAGGAGGAGGGAAGAGGAGAAGGTGGGGGGGAGGAGGAGGAGGGTAGAGGAGGGAGAGGAGGGAGGAGAGGGAGAGAGAGAGAGAGGGAGGAAGGAGGAGGAGGAGGAGGAGGAAGGAAGAGGAGGAGGAGGAGGAGGGGGAGGAGGAGGAGGAGGAAGGAGAAGGAGGAGGAGGAGGAGGAGAGAGGAGGAGGAGGAGGGGGAGGAGGAGAGAGGAGGAGGAGGAGAGGAGGAGGAGGAGGACGAGGAGGAGGGGGAAGAGGAGAAGAGGAGGAGGTGGAGGGGAGGAGGAGGAGGAAAGAGAGAGAGAGAGAGAAAGAGAGAGGTAGAGGGGGAAGGGGGGGGCCGGCGCCGCCCCCCTGCGCGGCGCGCCGGCGACCCCGCCGCCGCATCGGTGGCGAGCAAGGCGGATGCGAGGGCGGCGCTGCCGTTGCTGCCCTGGGCGGCGGCGGCGCGGGAGGGGAGGAAGAGGGGGGGGCAAGAAGGGTAAGGAGGAAGAGGAGGAGGGATGAGGAGGAGGAGGGAGATGGAGGAGGAATAGGGGAGAGAGACGAGATGGAGGAGGGGGAGGGGGAGGGGGAGGAGGAGGAGGAGCAGAGGTCGTCGTCGTGGGTCGTCGTCATCGTTGTCGTCATCGTTGTCGTCATCGTGAGCGCCGTCAGCGCGGTGTTCGTGGTCGTGTTCGTCATTGTTGTCATCGTAAGCGTCGTTGTCGTCAGCATCGTCGTTGTCTTCACGGTCGTCAGCATCCTCGTGGCCGTCGTCATCGTTCCCCTCGCTGTCGTCAGCGTCATCGTGGTCGCCGTCGTCGTCGTGCGTGCGCCGTCGTGTCATTCGCATCGTCGTCGCCGCCGTCGTCGTCGTCGCCCGCGCCGTCACCATAGCAGTCGCGCAAAAGGGTGGCAAAATCCCCGCTGACTTCAGGAAGGAGGGAGGAAAGGTGTTTCCACCCCCCTCCCCACTCAGAAGGAATGGGGAGGTTAGGGAGTACCAGAGGCTCCCCCCCAAAATCCTGTCAATTTTCCCTGTCAACATGGGCGTGTTGGCGCCGACGTTGCAACGGGCGTGGCAGGAGTGGGGCGCGGCGCACATCGCGCGCGAAAGCGCGCAGTGTCGCCCTCGCCTCGGCTCCGCGCTCATCTGCTAAGACTGGAAACCTCTTTGGGCGCGGAGCGCATGTTTCGCACACCAATTCGTCGTCGCGCGAGCGGGCGGAAATGACGTTCTCGATTCGGCGCCGTGCAGAGTTCGCTTGAAAGGGGTGCTCCCGCCTCGGCGCGGCCCACATCTTTCACCCGCCAAGATTTGGGGGCCACGCGCCAGTGGGCGACTATCGGCATCGACCAAGCTCCATGCATATTTCGCTTGGAAGTGGCGCTCCCCCGTGATCATGGCACACGTGTCGCTCGCCGAATCGCATGGCAGCGGCATCGGCAGCGGGGCCGCGCGAGAGCAGGCGATGCTATCCTCGCCCCAGCGCTGCGCAGCTTGCGCGTGAAAGCGCCACTGTTTGTTTTGGCGCCGCGATCCGTCTGCGCCTTTTGGGGCCACCCGAGAAATGGATAAAATGGTCTTCACGCCACAGCACCGAGCAAGGACTCCCGGAGCAAAAGATTCCCGGAGCTTCCGCCACAGCACTTCCGGAGGATTCCCGGAGCTTCCGAGAAATGGATGACATGTCTCCACGCCACAGCACCGAGCAAGGCTTCCCGGAGCTCCCGCTCCCACCTCTGCGCGGCCCGCGGAGCCGCCCCTTCGCCAAGTCGTCGGAGACGGGGTCGCGCGCGAGCGTCTTCCACTCGCTGTGTGGCCATGCGTTCAGCATAAAGTTGGCCGCACTTGAGTCTCGTGCAATGGGAAGGATGATGGGGATGGGCGAGTCCGGCCGACTCTTCCGACCTGGCAAACCGGACTCCCGCTTTCGCTCCTCCTCCTCCTCCTCCTCCTCCTCCTCCTCCTTCCCCTCGTCCTCATCCTCCTCCTCCTCTTCCTCCTCCTCCTCCTCTTCCTCCTCCTCCTCTTCCTCCTCCTCCTCCACCCTTCCCCCCTCTACCCCGTCCTCCTCCTCGTCGTCCGCCTCCTCAATCTCCCCCTCTTCCTCCTGCTCGTTTTCCTCCTCCTCCTCCGTCCTCCCTTCTGGGTCCGTGCGCGTGCCTGCCCGCCCATCGGCTTCTGCCTCAGAGGTGGAAATCGTGGGGGGTCTTGTCACCTGCCATACACTGATAGGCAAATTGTCCACCAGCACTACCACATATAGGACGGGGGAGAAGGGAGGATGAGGAGGTCCTCCTCCTCCTCCTCCTCCTCCTCCTCCTCCTCCTCCTCCTCCTCCTCCTCTTCCCTCTCCTACTTGTGGCAGTGGTGGTAGAAAACGGGCCCATCGATACACCCTTACATGTCGCGCAGCGGAGCCCAGAGCGTCAGCCGACTCGGCCAGCCGCGCCCCGTGCGAGCCCGCGTGGCACCAACGTCTCTTACAGCAACGAGCCCTTGTTGCGTCTTGTGCCGGCCCGTCTTGACCTCGATCCAAATCAATCACTTCAGCAGCCTTCTGTGAGCACCTGGGCATGCACAGCATGCACCTTCTCGAGCGCTTCACCTGCCGATCGCGCTCTTCAGCTTATCAGAGGCACCCTGCTGGACCAGCTCGTCGAGCCAGGGCAGGGGCGGAGTGCAGTCATGGGCGAAGAGAAGCCAGTCGCAGCCGCTGGGCTGAGGGAGCCTCCTTTGGCTGTCCCCCCCAGGCAGACCCCGGCCCCCCAGCGGTGGTGGCCTCCGCGCGGCACTCGAAATCAGGCGCCGGCCGCAGGAAATCCCCGCTGGGGGGTCTGGGCTGGCCTGGTGGGGGCGCCTGCGGGGCGGATGTTCAAGGGGCCCAAGGACACACAAATAAATGCACACAAATACTAATATTCCCCATATTTCCCCTATTCCGGGTTTTTGTCTTCCCGCCCAATTCCCATATTTTCCTATATTTTCTTGGGGATCGACGATTAATTGTGTCTGTGTGTTTTTTTCCCTCCTGAGATGAGCTTGTCCACCAGCCCCTGGGCGAAGAAACGTCCGGGGCCAGCTGCCGATGCCGTGCCCTCGCCGCAAGACCCAGGGCCGACGCCGTGCGCCTCGTGTGCGACCAGGCTGCGAGCCCCGCGGCCTCCTTCGCAGAGGGCGAGGACGAGGACAAGGACGAGGACGACGAGGGCCGTCAACCGTCGGGCATCAGGCCCGCGCTGCCGGTGTTGGGAGACGGCGTCTGGGAGGTCTTCGTAAGAGGGATGTAGGGCTGCTGAGCCCGACGGGTGGGCCAATACGCCAGAGCAGCCCAGACAAAGCTCAGGATTGAGCAGGACTCAATGGGTGCAATGAGCGGAGCTGAAAGGGACTTTGCCGGCCACGAATCTGTCGGCCAGGAACTGCATCCTAGCGGAGGGCATCAGGCCCGCGCTGCCGTCGCGTCCTCTCCCGCAGCCTCGTCGTCAGGGACTCCTCTCCGAAGACGCCCGCGGGCAGGAGCGAAGGCAGTACGTTGCCAAGAGGTGCAAGGAGCTCAAGACCTTGGCGGTTACGACTCGCATGAAGGACGAACTTGGCGAGCCCACAGAAGACGAGAGGGAAGAGTCCACTGTGCTCGTGACGGCCACTCATCTATGCCGCACGTGGCAGGAACAGCACGATCATCGGGCATCCGTGTTGGCACGGGCCAAGGCCCGATACGACCGTCTGGGCGACGCTGGTGCCAGGACAGAGCGGGGACCGACTCGCACACGTGACGATGTCAGCGGCAGGGGAGTGGGTCGAGCGTCACCAGGAGGCGCTACTATAGGAACAACGCACCGCGTAAACATGAACTGCCAGAGGCCCGCGCATACTTTTTTCCCGGATGGGCGCCGGAGCCCCTCTCTGGCGAGCGGAGCGCGCGAGTGGCGGCGCCGGAGGTGCCGCCAAAGGGGTCCATGCGGAACTTCGAGGTTGTGGACCCGTTTTGCATTATTCCCTACCTAAGCTCTGCCTAGAAGGGTTCTTACCGTGTTGGCTTAAAGGGCCGGGCAGTGTTCCACGCCCCTGGCGGTTCCCCCAGGATCCGCCCCGCGGTTCCCCCAGTGACGTTCCCTGGGTTCACCCAGCTTAGCTTAGCTTAGCTTAGCTTATCTTAGCTTAGCTTTGCCTAGCCTAGCTTGGCTCAGCTTAGCTTAGCTTATCTCATATTTGCTTGGCTTAGCTTAGCTTAGCTTAGCTTGGCTTAGCTTGGCTTAGCTTAGCCTAGCCGAGCTTAGCTTAGCATATCTTAGCTTACCATAGCTTAGCTTAGCGCAGCGCAGCAAAACGCAGCGCAGCATTAGCACAGCATAGCAAATCATAGCATAGCCAAGCATATCATAGCATAGCATAGCTCAGCATAGCATAGCATAGCATAGCGCAGCATAGCATAGCACATCCTAGCATAGCATTGCTTAGCATAGCACAGCGCAGCATAGCATAGCACATCATCGCATAGCATAGCATAGCATAGCATAACATAGCACAGCGCAACATAGCATAGCATAGCATAGCATAGCGCAGCATAGCATATCACAGCATAGCCTAGCATAGCATGGCGCAGCATAGCATAGCATAGCATAGCATAGCACAGCATAGCGTAGCATAGCATAGCATAGCGCAGCATATCATAGCATAGCATAGCCTAGCATAACACAGCGCAGCCGAGCGTACACTAGCATAGCATAGCATAGCATAGCGCAGCATAGCGCAGCATAGCGCAGCATAACGCAGCATAGCAAAGCATAGCACAGCATATCATAGTATTGTGCAGCATAGCAGAGCGCAGCATAGCATAGCATAGCATACCATAGCATTGCGCAGCATAGCATAGCATAGCATAGCATAGCATAGCATAGCATAGCATAGCATAGCATAGCAGAACGCAGCACATAATCCACTACTGCTGCTGCTAATGTTGATTTCCTGGAGGCTCCAACTCCTAGGTAGGGTCGCACTGGGATCATTCGCGATAACGTCCGTGCCCTGCCACGCCTCCCCACGATTCGCGCCGGGGCCGCACCCAGACAGCACCAAGCGAATCGTGACGTGACCAGCCGCCTCCCCCCCCATCCAGCCCCCCCCCCGTCACGACCGTTGTCGCCGGGGGGTACAACAAAAGGCCTCCGACGCTTACGCATACTTTTTTCTGGCATGGGGAGACCAAAAGGTACCGATACCGCTACTCCCCGGACCTCTCCTGGGGTGCGTTCTGACCAGGATGTCGCGTCATAAGGGTGCGCGGTAAGGATGCAAGGGCCCTGGAAGGCCATGTTGGCGTATTCGAACGGGGTTGGCCAGCGAAAGTCGCCAAGACTGGGCCGAAGGGGCCAGGATGCAAGGGTAACCTTGGAAAGCTGCTCATCCTTCGTTTGCGACGTGTCTGTAAGCCACTTGAAACA